TAAGACTTTGAGACAGGTCTCCCTGTAGCCCCAGCTGGCCTGGAACTCGATATGTAGATCAGGCTGGCCTTGAACTCACAGAGATCCACCTGCCTCTGCCTCCCGAGTCCTGGGATTAAAGGCATGTGCCACCATGTCTGGCAAATATTTTTCTTTCTTAATGGAAATTTCAGCATGCAAAGTAATGTGTTTCATTGTGATATTTCCACAGACGTGGCACTGCACGCACTCTAACCCATTCCCCGCCTGCATTTCCTCATGGCCGGCCCCACTTTCCCCTCTTCTCACAAGATGGACTCCCTGTACTCAGGTCACACATGCTCTGTTCCTTCTCTTTTTCAAATGCGACTTTTAGTTAATCTTTAATAACTAATCCTTTGTTTGGCTGTGCTAATATTTTGTCTAAAATAACATGTTATCACTGAAATTGTTACCTGTGTCCCTGTTTCTGGAGAACATATGGCAAACTTGCAAACAACATAGAGCAGTATGAAGTGTGAAACCACTTTCATTGAGGTGTTTTAAAGGTTGCATTAAGCCCTCTCTACCTTTGCCCTTGGGTTTGCATTTGCCGCACATGGCATGAGGCATCAGGGCAGGCCTTTAGTCCAACATTGTGCCTTGCAAAAGAATAAAGAACTTGCCAAAGTCATGGCTCTTGACTATAAGCAGGTTGTAAGCCAGTGGACCTGGTAAGCACATAGGCTTTCCTGATGTGGATTCTTGTGTGTAGGCATGGTGGCACAAGCCTAAAACCCTCACCACTCGGAGGAGGTAGAGGCAGGAAGATGGGGAGTCCTAGGCCACTCTTAGATGAATAGTGAGACCCTGTCTCAGAAATCAAAATCAAAGAACCTCAAACACAATGACTATGTGTCCTACCTTGCCAGGATTTCCCTGGCAGCTCACACGCCTGCATTTGTCCCCTGAGCCAGGGCAGGTCTTATGTGCTTTCCTTTGGAAGAACGGGAGTTTGATCCTTGGAGTTTGCTCTCATCCCTGTCAGCTGACTGTAGCGTTTTCTCTCTAGTATTGCAGTTCCCTAGCGTAGCCCCTGGCAGTTGGTAGACAGAAAGGCTTGTGTGGACGTCGTCACCTGTGCCAGTGTGGTAGTCACTGAGTTCACCATGAGGAAAATTTCTTGCCCGTCGTCTTGCTCATACCAAGATTTGGTGTGAATACCATGAAACTATATTTGAGCTTTGTAGAGTTATGGAATGAGGAGATTAATGAGTATGAGAGCAGTCAGCCGGTCCTTGGAATGTCAGAAACTGCAGATAAGGCCCAAGGGAGGTAGGTATGGGGTGAGAGGGAGGACCGACAGCAGCAGGGAGGAACAGGCAGGTGCGTGCGCCATGCGCGAGCAGCTTGCTGTTGCTAGGGGAGCAGAGCTGGTAGGAGAGCAGTGCTGTCCTGGTCTGATAACTGGGATACAAGTGGAGGAATCTTGTTACCTTGTTGGCTCCCCGGTGACGTGAAGAGTTTAGAAGAGAGGAGGAGATAACACTGGCATCTGAGGAAGCATCGTCTGAGCCTGGTGGACAGGGCTAAGCAGAAGGGCCTGGGGCTGCGGGCATGTCTTCTCAGGACCAGGCTTGAAGAACCTTTGTGACGGGTGCAGTAGCTGCCTCTGAAGCTCCAAGTGCTATGGAGTCACCTCAGACAAGCAGAGCAAAGACCCTGAGCCTCTTATCCCACCTCAGTCCAGGCTTATGGGCTGTCCTTCCCGACAGTTACAGTTTGCTTGACTACAACTTAGAATATTTGGCGTTGTAAAGGGAAGATGTCAGCCATGAAAACGTCTTCCTCCCCTGCTTACAGGTGAATTACTGCTAGTCTCAGATACATAGTGAAGACTTAACTTCTAGGTTGGGGATGTGGCTTAATGGTAACATAATGGCCTAGCACTTAAGGACTCTGGACTAGCTCTCCTGAGCCTCAGAGGAAAACAAAACAAAGAAGTATCACGTTCTGTGCTTCTTGTTGTGGATATGATCATCTTCTCCAAGCAGGAATCTTGCTGGAGAGTGTAGGGCAGTGACCATCAGCAGAGTTTCTGGCGGTCTTTTTTTGCCAGTTGAAAAAAGTCAATGCAGAATGACTTGTTTTCTGTAAACTCTACTCTTACTTAGGTGGTGGTCAGTGTTGGGGTTCTGATGTCCCTGATGTGTCCTGGCACAGGAGTAGGACTTGGGACTCACCCTAACCCTTGCCCACCCTGTCCTGCTGGTTTGTCTCATGTTGACCTCTGTCCTTTTTGAGCTGCCACAGTCAGGTGAACAGTTAGGAAGGAGAGCCACGCTGAAAATGATGGTCCAGCCTTTGTTCACGTACATGGAGGTGCACATGTGAGGCCGAAGGGAAGCGCCACCCGTGTTGTGATTCCCCCAGGAAACCTCAGTCCGAGAGTCAGAGACTGAGCAAGCGAGAGACCTGATACCTTAGAGAGCCGTGGAGGAAGGTGCTGCCTGCCTGAGGGTTGGGGAAGGAATGATGGTGGTTTTAGAGTCGGCTCCTGGACCAGAATGCATATTGCTGGCTAAGAGAGGTGGGCATGCTGGAGCGGCTGACACTGCCATCCTGGGAAGTCACTGCCCTGCAGTTGTGCTGTTAGGACTGTCTGTGCTTGGTCTCTGGCTGCCTGGCCATGCTGCTCACACACCTGCCCTTGTGTCGTGTTGTAGTCCTTATACCTGGTTGTCTCCTCCACCCCAGCCTAATCTGGTCAGCCACTCCTCCTCTGTGAGTCTGTGGGTTGTGTTGGCACTTGCTTACATGCAGGGGCAGCCTTGGAGGAAACCAGCCTTTTCTACATCTTTGGCGGAAAGACTGTTAAAAAATAAGGTAACAGCAGCCTTTGCAAAAGCAAAAGCATTTTTCATGACAAGAGAATCACCCTAGACATGAGTGTGGACACCTTCTTTGAGGCTTAATGGTTCAGGCGTCTGTCAGCTTCAGGATATACAGTCATTTTAAGACCAGTTTCCTTATGACTTTACTAATATTAGAACAGATGTAGTAAAGCAGTGGCTAATTATTAAAATAATGGCCATTCTGGAAGAGAATGTCAGCTATTGTGTGAAAAGTGGTGTAATTCTTCACCTTTCAATTTTGAATCTTTTTTTTCTGTTTGGTTCTCTTTCCTATTCTATGGAAGATATATATTACATATGTATAGATTTAATTTTTTTTTTTCTGTCTTTTTGAGACAGGGCCTCTCTGTAGCCCCAGCTCTCTTGGAACTCACTATGTAGACCAGGCTGGCCTTGAACTCACAGAGATCCTCCTGCCTCTGCCTCCCGAGTGCTGGGATTAAAGGTGTGTGTCACCACATCTGGCTTAGATTTAATTTTTATTTATTTCACTTTTTTTTGAGACAAGGCCTTACCTATGTAGCACTTCCCGGCCTGGAATTTGTTTATGTAAACCAGGCTGGCCTCAAACTCATAGAGATCCACCTGCCTCTGCCTCCCAGAGGCTGGGATTAACAGCATGCAATACCACTCCAGCCTCTATGAGAGAGAGGTGCTTTGAAACATTTCTAGAAATGACTTGGTACCACTGTTAATGATGATCCACTGGGATGCAGGACTACAGAAATGGATCTGCTAGAGTCTAGTAACAAGAGTTAAATGAAAGTCTAAAGAGGAACTTTTCCACCAAATGCACGGCTTCGCTAGACCCGCATCCTCTCTGACTCCCGAGTTCACCACTGTGCTGTCAGCCTCCACACAGGAGCCCACCCACCACAGCAAAAGAGACATAAGGATAGCTGTCCCCTCAGCATAGCACACTCAGAAAAGACAGTCTGAGAGTCTTGACTTGGCACCTGCCTCATGCTCCTGACAGGGCAGGGGGCAGACAGGAGGCTGCCCAGGCCTTGTTCCTTCCTCCTGAATTTGGGAGTGGGGGTGACGTTCTCCCCAACATGGAAGGTACTTTTCATGTTGTTCTCCTTGTTTGTCTTTTCAGACACTTTCCACAGTGAACAATGTGCATAAAGAGTACGTGTTTGATTCTCAGAAAAGTTACTCTTACCTAGTAAAAGGTTTTTTCCCTTGCCAAGAATGTGCGGTCTCAGGTAGCCACTTTACCAGCACACACACCCTTGATCACTTGAGGGATGAGGAAAAGGAACAGTGAGTCTGGCAATATTGATCATTATTTGCACAGAGATGCTTGCTGAATGTCCGTCTGGACTCTGATGTGGTCAGTGAGGAGGAAGTGGCTTGTGCA